CGACGACGTCTAAGTACGTAAAACTAACTAATTACTTACTTTTACCTAACTTAACTAATATACGTCGAGTGTCTCTACTATAACTATATATATATATATATATATATATATATATATATATAGGCAGAGGGAGAGAGAATGTTTTGTACCTTTTTCCAAAAGAACAAGATAGCCATTTTTTTTTTCCAACAAGAAGGTGGTTGCATGAAACCGGCCGTAGTAGTATTTTATGATTGAGGCGGCCAAGTGTCTTAGCTTAAAATATGCCATCCTCCCAACCTGTACCATGGCTGTTGTGAGCCACAACCAGCCATGCAGATACCCTTGTAATCCCCGATCTAAACCCATGAAACCATCGAAGCCACCATGCACTTTGGATTCTCATCCATAATGGAGAAAAGAGAAAACTAAAATCTTTAAGATAGAGAGAATAAAACAACAAATTCTAACACTTGGAGAGCCTAGGCTCAGAGAAAGAGAGACAGAGAGACAGAGAGACCCAGTATTGCATAGCCATGGGAGCTCAGACTAAGGCCGCAAAAGCTTCCCCTAGTCCCAGCCCAAGCCCCAACAAGCAATCCACAACTCTCAAATACCTCTTCACACTAGACTCTCCCTCTAACAAATGCACCACCCTCATAAACAACCCAACTCTCCATCACCATCTCTCCAGAAAACCAGACCTCGACCCCATAACTGCCGAGCTCATCACAAAGATCAGCTTTTGCAACTTTGCCTTCACATTCACTGACCCATTTGAGTCCCCAACCCAACAAGACCTCAAGCGCCAAAAGCTCTGTGAGATTTTAGACTACCTTAGAGCGACCTCCAAAGACAAGCACCCTTATCCTGACTCAGTTCTCTCTGCATTTTTCTCCATGTTTTCTTCAAATATTTTCCGATCATTACCGCCTCCACCACCCACTGCAAGAGAGGCACCGGACCCTGACCAAGAGCCCGAGCTCATGCCCATTGAACCCATGTGGACCCACCTCCAACTTGTGTATGATATCCTCCTTAAGCTTGTTGTGTCACCACAAATTGAGCCCAAGGCAGTGAGGCACCACATGAATGAGGCCTTTGTCCTAAAGCTCCTCAACTTGTTTAAGGCTGAGGATCCCCGAGAGAGGGAGAGCTTGAAGAACGTGTTCCACAGGATTTACTCGAGGTTCACGTTCTATCGATCATTCATGAGGAAAAGTATGAGTGATGTGTTCTTGCACACTGTGTTCGAGGGGGAGAGGCACCCTGGTATAGGAGACTTGCTAGAGATATGGGGGAGCATCATCAATGGCTTTAGTTTACCACTAAAGGATGAACACAGGCTCTTCTTAATGAGGGTTCTTGTGCCCTTGCATAAGCCAAAGGGCTTGCCTATCTATCACAGGCAACTTGCTTATTGTGTGAGCCAGTTTGTCATTAAGGAGCCTGGGCTTGGGGGTAGTTTGATTAAGGGGATCCTCAAGTATTGGCCCCTCACCAATTGTCAAAAGGAAGTCCTCCTTATTGGGGAGATAGAAGAGTTGGTTGAGCACACAGACCCTGGCGAGCTCCGAAAGCTGGGGTCCTCTCTGTGTTCACAGGTTGCAAAATGCATGAATAGTTGGAATTCTCAGGTGTGTAAGGTGTTTTAGCCATCTAACTGATCATTTTTCCTTTTTGTTTTGAGCTTCTGATAATGAGATTGGATATATAAGCACTATTCAATTAGATTCTATTAGAAATTAAGCTATGCATATTTGTGCCAAAGAAGTACCAGAACAGGCAGATGACCTCTAGGGAAGCCCTAGCAATAAAATCACACTGCAAGGACAGATAAGGAGAGGAAACAACACTCAAAGTCAGACCACATCGTATTTATAATTTTTGAAATTTAAGTAGTAATATCAAAAATATCAAAAGAAAGTACTTTGAATTTTTGTCATTTGTAATTGTCCTGCATATTAATATTAGTTAAAAAATATTATGAACAGACTTTTGAATTATATGTTTTATAGGCATGGCAAGGATCTCGGTCGATCTACCCATAAAAAAAACCCATAAGTAATAACCTCACAACCAATAAAGAAAATAATAACTTTGGGGAAAAAAAAATGGTAATAACCTCATAAAAAATCAAGACAGATTTTAGGAACTTTTGTTCTTTTCTTGTTTTTTTCTGAGAAAAAAGTATTTAGAAAATTAATTTTTCAAGATGAATGTTTAATTTTATTTCCACATTTATCTTTTTCTAAAATCCTTTTATTATTTATTTTATGTCCTTTAGAAAATCAAAACATTTGAAAATCACCTAAAAAATTCCAGAGAACAACAGGTCACTGTGTTTAACCCATGTTTAACATAAATGAGCCTAGGAGCATTGTTCCTCTTTACACAGTTGAAAAGGTTTAGCAAATTTACAGCATCAAGAAGGAAATGGACAATGGGGATTTTTGTGCAGGTAGCAGAAAGGGCATTGTGTGTGTGGAACAATGAGGCATTTGTGAATGTGGTCTCTACGACAATGGAATGTGCATGGCCAACTATGGTAGATGCCCTTGAGAAGAACTTGAAGTGGCATTGGAGCAAAACGGTCCGGCAACTAACAATGAGCGTGAAAATGATGCTAGAGGAGATGGAACCCGTGCTGTACATGGAATGCTTGGAAGGATCAGGCAAGAGGGCAGCTATGGCAAATGAGGAGGATATGAGGAGGAAAGAGAAGTGGGAGAGGCTTGAAATTGCAGCAGCCAATTCCCTACAGCCATGTATATGTGTATCCCAATGATAGTCAAAGTTAAATACCTCATTCAATTTCAATCATCATGAATAGCTACTTGGAAACAGGTGTGCAGGTTCAATACTTCGATAAATTGATACAATACTTTTAGAAAATGATACAAAATCACATAAAAGGTTGAGTGTTAAGGACACAAAGCTCCATAGAAAGATATCCTCGCTTCTAACTCCAAATCCTCCTATTCACTCTCTTACGAGGGAACAAAGATTCTCTCGAACTCCATAATACGAACCGATGGAACAATAGCAAGAAGCCTCCTAAACCGAGGACAGTATGCCACTTTGGGCCACTTTGTAGTAGGATCCTGAGCAGATGTCCCCGTCCAAGGAGAGGCCAAAACCTAAGAAAAATACTGATGTCAGGGGCAGTTTTAACTGCAGAATACAGATACTCTTGCACTACAAACTACTTTTTTCTTTTGCAGTTATAAGTTGAGGAACCAGATACATCAAGTTGCTCATAGAGTATGGACAAACATAGAGGTGTTTGGACAAAGACCTTCAAATGCCCTAAAATCAGGTTTACTCCCGGTCTCCGATACACCATATGAATGCAAATGACCAAAACATCACTTGTAGGTTGTGAGCAAATGCTACAATAGCAATGGAAGCCTATAACTGATACCCAAAAAAAAAAAAACCGCAGCAAATATTTCATACACCACCAAATGCACAAATATTATCAATACCCACACAGATTTGCCAATTGAATTTGGAGAATGCATAAGACGAAATGCAAGTCTACACCTTTGGGGGGGACTATGCATAAAAGTGCTGGTCCTGAACCTGTCTTTCAAAAACTGTGTAACGCATCACATCTTTAAGAGGATATCTACCATGGATCAAATCCAACTTTCTACCACTTCAAAACATAAAGCTCTCACAAACAGGAACTGTGCACCACCCCTTGTGATACATGCTGCCTTCATCTTATCTGGGAAGATGAACAAAAAGGAACTTCCCCAAAATGTCTCCAATAGGGAGGGTACCACCCCACATCATTCCAAACCAACCACCACCACCACCACCCTCCACCACCACCTCTCCTTGTACTCAAAAGAATATACTATCTTCTTTGTTTCACTATCCAATTCAGCAATTTCTCTACAAGTCCTTTAGAAACCTACACCTCCTACCACTACCACCATGACACGCGTCTTTTGCTTTCAACTTAATACTGCATTACCAGGATCTTCTTAAAATGGGTAACAAAGTACAATTCTCAAAATTTGGGGCTCATTTGTTATTGAAAAATGACTTGAAGCTTCAGATTTCCATGCTCTTTCCAATCTAATCCATGGAAAGTAGCTGGGGCCCACTCCTTGAATCCCCAAAGAAACTTAAGCTTTTAAACAAAAAACTTCTGTCATTTTAGTTACTCATCAGAAAGAACATTATTACTACTAAACTGTGAGTAATCACCTCGAACTGTTACATTTTATTCTTTTTTTTTTTTGGAATCAGTAACTTTTTATTCTTTGATTACCTTGGTAAATAACAAGGCCATGTTAAGCTGGTCAACCAGCAATTTCCTAGAAGCCACTTTAATACACCTGGATTCTTTCTTGTGAAACACCATTACTCTGAAAGATTCAATCATCAGCTCAGAGGCAGAAAAGTGTCTTGATCATTAGCAATATGAATAAATAATACTCTAGGGTTCAGTTCAGCAAGTATATCTAATTTTTTCTTGTCACATGTTATTATATATTCAATCAATCTTATAACTCACAGGTTAGATGTGTTGGTACAGCGACTTTGGTATTTGCTTGCTTTCTGGTGCTGCTTGACCTTAAATCCCAATAAATCCTGGAACCAGTCAGAGTATTGGTTTGGACAGTTCAACAATTTCATCAAGACCCATCAAACCAATGTAATCAATGATGGAGATCATTCAACTAGTCCTAGTTTTCTTCTTTTTTTTTCGGGGGGGGGGTGGGGAATCAGGTTATCTTTCTCCTATTTTAACTTTTTTCTTCTTTTTTGGTGGGATGTGGTCAGATTTGAATAGAGGAGAGTGGCTACTCTAAAGTTTGATGGGTGGTCTGGTCTTGTAAATGCTAATCAACCGACAATTATGAGAAAAGGTTCCCTAGGTTATTTGCTTTTCTTATTTGACTTCTCTATTCAAATAAGAGAAGTCATCCTTGAGATATCCAAGTCATCATTTATATCAAAAGCATATCGCGGAATTAGTGCTACTGTTTCATAGCATATTGCATGATAGATACACACAAGCAACAAAAATTAACTCAATGGATGCTATTTGAAGTTTGAAGAACATTACAGTTTACCAACATTTAACAATAAAATAAGTCAAATCTTCTATAATTTCCCATAGTTGTTCAAAGGCTGGAGACTAATCGAATATGAGAAATACAATTGAAAAGTATTTAAAGTATCAAAGAAAATAAATGCTTATTTTCAATAATTGACATGAATTGGAACTTAAAGAACAATGTTCTGTTTGAGTTGAGAAAAGCAAATGGAACTGAAATATCAATATAGCATTCTGTTTTACAA